CCCCCCCCCCGACCCGCCTGGCGCCACCGGCGGTGCCGCCCAGTGGCAATTGCGGACCGCCTGCAAATGCCACCGGCAGTGTCAGTCAGCAGCAGGGTGGCAAGCAGCGACCACCCACAGGCACCGCCAACAGTGTTGGTAGTACGTTTTTGTAGGGGGTGCACCGCCACACTTAGGGGGTGCATGTGCACCCACATGCACCCCCTATGCATTGCCCCTGTTCCCAACCCCTGGGCTGCAGCCTGGTACTGGGCTGCAAAAGGTTGGTTGCTGGACCAGAAGTCCGGAAGTGACTGGCATACTGCAGACCAGTAGTCAACCCTTTTTTTATACTCAGTGTCTTTTTTTATACTTTTGGTCTGCACTATGCTGGTCTGCAGTCATTTCTGGTCCGCGGTTTACCAGTCTGCAGTCTAAAAAGGTTGGGAACCACTGGTACTTCATGCTCTTCCAACTAAACGTAAATATCTGAAGATGAGGACATGAAGAGTTAAGGCAAGCAAATTTTAATCCATGAAACCCAAGAAACTTAAGTCAAGGCACACATTATTGCTACAATGCTACTTTAAATCAGCCCCTTACAGTTGGCAATAGCTAGTGGGGATGACTCAGGAAAGATTGTACCACTGTTAGCATATATGAAAAGCATAATTTTTAACATTATACTCTATAAATCTGAATGACAGCATTTAGTTGGATGCCCTCAGCTGCAATCACTGCTGTAGGTGCCACTGTTTTGAGTGGTAGAAAGATTTTTTGGAGCTGTTTGGCAGTTGTCAGTGTACTGAGTTTTCTTAAAGGATCAAACATGGCTCATGTACACAATGAGTTCTGCCAACTGTCAGCAGAAGTGCACAAGGATGTTCTAGCTATGGGGACTGCAATAAACTAGCAGCATACATGATAGTGCTGTCCCTGGTTTATGTGAAGTGGTAAATGAAGGCAACACCTCAGAAGGGTGAAGTGATGGTGATATTCTGCAAGCCTAAAGTAGGTTTAGCTTCATGTGCTCTAGACCAGTGGTTCTCAACCTTTTTTTGTACCAAGACCCATTTGTAAACACTGATGGCCAGTCCCAACCCAGTGCCCCTCACTCCTGACCTCCCCAGCCCCCCCAGAGTGTGGGGCTGGGGATGGGTGTGTGGGAAGGAGATATGCGGCGGGGCGGGGGGCAAGCAGCCCTTTGCAGGCTGGAACTCTGACAGTCTTAAAGGGAGAAGTCACAGTGTCCCACATTTTTCTCCTTTAAAGGAGAATCCATTTTTAACAGTTTGTTGATCTATTTTTAAAAGCTTGTTTGTGACCCCCTTTCGTTGCCACCCATGGGTTGAGAAACACTGTTCTGGATCTTGTATAAAGGTCAATGCTAATGCTCTGTCAGTGACATGTGGGCATTTCTCAAAGGGACAGAGTTCAGATTGCATTGTGGGGGCCATTTGTACTTTTACAGAGCATTCCCTGCTTTTCAGACATTTAAGTTTAGCTAAACTTAATGTTCTAGATGAGGCAACAATCAGCAATAATAAATCTGCAATATTCAAGTTTTGGAGCAGTGAATTTTCCTTTAAAAAAAAAAAAAAATACAAAAAACTTGTTATTGCTTCATTTCACAGGACAGCTCTCCAATGCCATGGCAAAAATCACCCAAGGAACAGAATTTACTCGCTGCCTGTTGTCGTCTTACTTCCTACTACTCTGCCTGCCAACAG